CTGGATTTGAGCTCCAGGCTCGCCCTTGGCGTTTTATCCAGTGTCCGCGAGCCTGAACTTCCCTTGACCGCGCACTCACATAGCCCGCACGCCGGGGGGGGGGGGGGGGGGGGGGCATGGGGGGCGCACAGGTCAAGTGTGGGTATTGCTCTCGCTTTCATCGTATTCCTGAATCTTAATTCTGAATGAATTATTAAGTAATTAAATGAGTTTTAATTATTTGTGAAACCGTGTGCTAGTGATGCTGACGATGGGTGGAGTTTGCTGGGTTTTAAGGAACCTTCTGATTAAACAGTAAACAGTTAAAGCAGTTAAAACAGCGGCAGAGCCTTCCCGCCATCCCCATCGCAGGGCTGAGCTTCCCGCCAGCGGCCACTCGGGGGCGCCGCAGGACTACGCGGGCGGCCGGGCGGGGGCTGGAGGAGGGGCCGGAGCTGGGGGCGGGGGCCTGGGGCGGCAGGAGACCGAGGGGCTGGGGAAGGGTGGGAGGGATGGGGCTGGGCTGGGAGTTGGGGAGGGTGCTGGGAGTGCCTACTGAGAACCCCCGGACCCGGAGGCGCTGCAGCCCCCCCCTTATGCCATCCGTGATGCCTCCCTCTCCCCACTCCCTGTTTGGAGGACCCTAGCGCTCCCCACATTTTCTGCTTCCGGCTGGTGTGGACCTTACTGAGGTCCCCTTGTGCTCACACCTAAGGGGACCCCGCTCTTCGCAGGTTCCTAGGGTGAGGGGTGCTGAAGACCCAGAGGGGCCATACGGGAACCCGACCCTCCCTCTCCCTGCACGTGCGCAGGCCGGCGGGCGACGGGAGGGACAGAGATGAGGTCAAGGTGTGTGGCCAGCAGGGCCCGGAGAGGCACAGTCCGTTACCGTGAGTCCAACAGGCCCAGGACCGCCCGCCGCACAGCGCTGGCCGGTGATGTTGGGGGAGGGGCAGGTTACCGTCCGCCCGGGGTGGCCCAGCTGACCACCAGGAGGTCCCAGAAGCCAGGAGCTGGTGCAGAGCCCACCCACACGGGAGGGAGGGGGTTGGATGGGCCAACCTACCCCAGGACCGGGGGTGACTCCGCCCTCTGAGCCGGTGTGGTCAGACTCCTGGACTGAACACCTGTTACGCACCCACAGGAACAGTGGCCAGCACTGAAATTCTCAGCTGTCACAGCATCCAGTTTAATCCACCCAGGCAAGCTTTGCATCTGGGAAATAATTTTAGTTTATCTACAAGTTGGAAACCATGGAGGTGATGCTGCAGTTCGGCCAAGGCTGGGGAGGGAGAGACCTGCGCCAGCAGAGGTCACACTGGAACCAGGAACAGAGGTGACGCCTCTATGGACAGCACAGCCTCCACGCAGCCATTTCCGGGCAAAGCCAGAGAGCCAGAGGCCGGGGGCCCCTGACACGTGGGGGCAGAGGGAGCCCACCCAGTGTCCATGCTGAGCCCAGCGCAGGAACTGCCATCGGAGCCCCCTTTCAGTCAGAACCCCCGATTCAGCAAAAGTGCTTTATGCACACTTAGCATAATCAGAGAGGGGCAGGACTGAACCTCTGGGAAAACAGACCTCAGAACTTGGAGCACTCTCAGAGCCATGGGGGTTGGGCCTCTCAATGTAGAGCCAGCAGTTTGGCCCTGGGCTCTGTGAATGGTTAATGAGCCCAGGGATTCCAGTTATTAGAGTAATGATTTTCTGTTTTGGCGAGGGGGGAGGGGGAGGGGGGGCGGGGTGTTTGTTTTTGGTCTTGGTTTTGTTTTTTTGGCTGCGTTGGGTCTTTGTCGCTGTGTGCAGGTTTCTCTAGTTGCAGCGAGCGGGGGCTACTCTTCGTTGTGGTGAGCGGGGTTCTCATTGCAGTGGCTTCTCTTTGTTGCGGAGCACAGGCTCTAGATGTGCAGGCTTTAGTAGTTGCAGCACGTGGGCTCAGTAGTTGTGGCTCGCGGGCTCTGGAGTGCAGACTCGATAGTTGTGGAGCACGGGCTTAGTTGCTCCACGGCATGTGGGATCTTCCCAGACCAGGGCTTGAACCCGTGTCCCCTGCATTGGCAGGTGGATTCTTAACCACTGTGCCACCGGGGAAGTCCCTAGAGTAATGTTCTACCTCTAGTGCCAGGTTGGCTGCCATGGAGGACTTTAATTTGGGCATGAAATGGCCATGGTCTTACCAAGGAGGTGATCCAGAACTGTAGGTTAACAACCTAATCTGTGGTTTCCTCTGCTGTATCTTCAGGAAACACCATATCTCCTGGGGCTGGATTGAGATAGGCAGCCCAAAGCAGTGTACAGGAAAGACCTAATTCTTGGAAAACAGGTAGACAAGATTATGGGTAAGAAGACAATGCTGAAATCTAGTCTAAAAGCCAAGGCAGGGTTGAAAGTGGAAAGTGAACAATGAAGGCCGAAGTCAGGACAGGGGAGAACAGACAGAAGGAGGAAGCGACTGAAAAATAACTTTGTGCAAAAGCTGAAGAAATAAAAGCCTCCCTCGGTGCAAGAGTTCAAGGAGGCAATCGCCTCCATGTGGTGCGGAGTATGTGACATGGGGCTTAGAGACAGCTTCCTAAAGGAATTGTGCAGGGCCGAAGAGGACAGCTAGGTGGGGGAAAAGACTACCTGAAGCTAAAAGAAAACAGAATCAGAAAAGGTGGCCCCGGGAAGGGAGCTAAGAGTCAGATGGTAATTGCAAGCAGAGACCGATGGGATCCTGTGTTTCAGATATGCGTGTTCTCCCCGTCTCTGTCTCTCCTCTGCCCTTTGCAATGAACTGGAAACAATAACGCTGTCTCCTCTTACTCATTCTCAGCCCTTTGCACTCAAATTTCATCCCCCGCACTCCACTCATCATTGTGAAGGTGGTTTCCTAACTGAAGTGGCTTCCTAACTAAAAAATCCTATAGATTGACTTATTTTCATCCTCATTTTGCTACTTTTATTTCCATCAAGCCTCTTCTCAAACGTCTCCTAATCAAAAGCCTTCTCTCAAAAGAGAGGCCTTTCCTGATTCCCCCAAATAAAAGAGTGCTTATGTCATAAAAAAATTAAAAATAGGGGCTTCCCTGGTGGCGCAGTGGTTGAGAGTCCGCCTGCCGATGCAGGGGTCACGGGTTCATGCCCCGGTCCAGGAAGATCCCACATGCCGCGGAGCGGCTGGGCCCGTGAGCCATGGCCACTGAGCCTGCGCGTCCGGAGCCTGTGCTCCACACGGGAGAGGCCACAGCAGTGAGAGGCCCGCGTACCACAAAAATAAAATAAAAATAAAAAATAAAAGTAAATTAGAACCCCAACCACCACAGACACCACCCGGCTAGGTTGTCACACCACAGTGTAGATGGGAAAACCAAGGTGGGAGGCTCAGTCCTGCTCTCAGGTGAGGGTTTCACCCAGTGTAGACAGACCACTAATAGTGGGAGGGTGGATCCTGCACAAAGGGTGAGGATCTCACCCAGTGTAGACAGACCACTGAAGGTGCGAAGGTGGTTTCTGTCCTAAGAGTGAGGGTCTCACCCAGTGCACACAGACCACTGAGGGTGGGAGGGTGGGTCCTGCACTAAGGGTGAGAGTCTCACCGAGTGTAGACACACCACTGAGGGTGGAGGGCGGATCCTGCCCAAATAGTGAGGGTCTCACCCAGTGCAGACAGACCACTGAGGGTGGGAAGGTGGTTTCTGTCCTAAGAGTGAGGGTCTCACCCAGTGTAGACACACCACTGAGGGTAGAGGGTGGGTCTTGCACTAAGAGTGAGGTTAGCGCATAGGGCACCTGATGACCTGGCCTCGTGCTGTCTGGTAAGGCTCTGTTCAGGCTGGCTGAGGTGTACAGGCTCAGGTCCTGTGCAGGTTTGGCCTTCCGTGTAGGGTGGAAACTTCCGTGGTTCTGGTGTCGTGTGGGGTCTCTGTGAGCAGGCATGGGGCTTGCACATGCCACCCTGGTGCTGATGTAAAGCCCCCTCCTCCCCTGCCACCTCAGGCAGCCCTGTCTGTGTGGGAGCCCCGTCCTGCCTTCCCCACTCACCCTGAGGGCAGGCCTGAGGGCAGAATCTCCAGTGCCGCTGGATTCCATCCACTCACCCTTCCCCACAGGGCAGGACTTCCCAAACTCTCATCCAGCCAGGGGATGCAAGTCTCAGACCTAGAGCTCTGCAGACAAACCCCCCACCAGGGTCCTGGGGCCGGCTCTGCATGGGGGGGGCTACAGGGCGGCCTGACCCAGCTGCCCGCTGTCACGCCCCCAGCTGCCTGGGACCCACATGGCCCAACACCCCTGCCCCTTAGAACCGGACCTACGGCCTTTAAGATGGAAATCCAAGGTGTGCATACGAGTGACAGAACAGTTTTCTGACCTACAGCACAGTTGGAGTTTCTTAAACCAAAACAGCGCTGTGGATGTAAATGCTCCAGGGGAACCGTGAACAGAATCCGGTAAAGCGGTGGCTGGCCTCCTGCCCCTCCCATGGGGAAGGTACCTCCTCAGCTACTGGGACCCTGGTGTTGGGGGAGCTGGGGGGAGGAAGAGGCTTGCCAACCACACCTCAAGGGGCTTTCATCTTCGCAGAGTGGGTGGTGTAGGACCTCCTCCCCCCACCGCCCACCCCGCCCTGACAGCCTGTGCTGAACAGATCCGAGCGTCCCGTCCAGGGATCCAGGAGCCATCGAGGGAAGGAGACCCTGCAGGGACTGGGACCCAGGAGTCGGCCCATGTGCCCACCTCGCCCTCCCACCTCACACCTTCAGCTCAGCCCGAGTGCCGTGTGGCTGCTGCTTCTTAACTTTTATTTTATTGGAGTGTAACACACGTACAGAAAAGCGCCTGGAACACACACGGTCAGCTCGGGGGACGATCACGGCGTGAGCTTCCACGACACCACAACTCACAGCAGGAGACAGAACACAGAAGCAGGGGGCGGCCAAGGCGGCCGGGGGCTTGCTGGGGGGACAGGGAGGTCACTTGGCTCGCTGGCTGCCCAGGCGGCCCTGCTGGGGGGTGAAGCGGGGACGGACGAGAGGCGCCACACTTCACACCCGCGGGGAGTGGTCAGGGCTGAACTTGTACAGGTACAGTACCCAGAGGATGCAGACGGTCACGGAGACCCAGATCCAGACTTCTTCGTAGGGGTCGAAGCAGAAGCCTTCGGCCCAGCAGAAGTCCTCCTCCCAGTAGCACCCAGGGCCGGACTTGCCCGCCCTGGGCCCCGGCTGCCTCTGCTTCTTGGAAAAGCCAGGGGTGGCAAGGCCATTGCTTTGAGGGCCACTGTCATCGCCGCTAGAGCCCTTGCTCTAAATGATACTGAGGACGGAGAAGGGGATAGTGACGGAGCCCTCGCTGATGGGGACAGGGCCACTGGCATTGGTCCCTGGAAGGGGCTCACGGCCAGCAGTGGCAGGGCCGCTGCCGCCATCCTCCTTCCCTTTGCCTTCGGTGACGCCGCCTTTGCCCTTGTTGGCGAAGATGAAAGGGAAGGTGAGGGAGCCGTAGATGAGGTCAAAGGGGTCCTCGCCTTCAAGGACCACATTGGTCAAGGAAGAGGGGAAGGTGACGGAGCCCTCCCCGTTGTGCATGAGGCCAATGATGTAGGTCACTGGCCGCGGGCTGTTTCCATCAGTGACTTCAGTGACAGCACTGCTGCTGCGGAACGCGGGGCCCCAGCCATCGTCTGCGTCTTCATCTCCATTTTCATCTCCTTCAGGGTCGGAGATGCAGCCGTGGCCTTTGTAGATGAGGCCTGTCACCTCCTTGGTGCCGCTGAGGCCGAGGCCTTTGCAGTGGAACACGGGGACTTTGATGTTCACCGGGAAGCGTTTGCCTTTGGACATGGCCTTGGAGCTGGTGGGCAGGTAGGGGGAGCCCATGCCAGCGGTGAGCGGTCCGGTGGGGTCGGCCACAGGCCCCTTGTCCTCGCCCACAAGGGAGAAGGGGACGGTGACGACCTCCTCGTTCTCTCACGGAAGAAGTCCCTGCCGTCGGGGGGGAGGGGGCCGAGGTGGAGTTGGGTGCAGCCCCTGGAGCAGGGACCACCACAAGCCTGCAGCCAAGCACGCGCAGCTGTTTGCTGGCGGTGGGGCGTCCACGTTGCTGCCGCCATACAGGGTGAACCTGCCCTTGCTGGTGCTGGGGCTCTTGACCTCTGGCCCCCAGGCAGGGTCCGGGGGCTTCGGCAAGAAGCAGACCCCCGGGTCGCCGGCGTCGCAGTGCTCGCCGAAGCAGATCTCGGGGCCCTGGTCGGAGCCTGGGCCCTCCCTGTAGCCCTTCTGCGCGATGAACTGCACCGGCTTGTTGAGGAAGGGCCGCACGCTGAGCAGAGGCCGCCATGGCAGGCGGCCCCGCCTGCGGGCACAGCCGGCACCGCTGGGCCCAGATGCGCACCTTCACCAGCCCCTGCCGGGCATCCTCGTCCCACTACAGGTGGAAGAGGATGTGCACGTGGGCCGAGGACCAGCCCCACTGGCAGTGGCCACACTGGAGCCTGGGGAGGAGAGAGGGGGTGAGCGGGGGCGGGGTGGCCCTCCCCCGGCCCAGCGGGATTCATGACCCCAGCCCGTGTGTGCACATCCCTCGCTGCACCCACAACCGGAAAAGCCAAAGCCAACGCCTTTCATCCATTTGGCACCAAGATGCCGTCAGCGGCAAAGCCAGGACTGCCACGTGCAGGGCCACCTCTGCGCTTGCTGCTGCTGGTCTGTCGCCTGCTGACCTGGGCCTCAACTGCTCAAGGAGATGTCACCAGGACAGTGAGGAAAGGAAGAGCTTCTGTGATGCCCAGTGCGGGGACGGGGGTCTGCAGAAAGGACCTGGGGAGCCCACCCCACGGGAGAGAGGCGATGGGGAGGCTGGGGGCGGGCAGAGGAGCGTGAGGAGAGCGGTGAGGGGCTGGGACCCCAGGATGCTGGGGTGGCCCTGCGCTCGCTTGCGGGCACCAGTCCCTGGGCGGTGGGCTTGGCCCTCACACGGTGAGGGTGCCGCTCCGGAGGCTGAAGGCAGGGCCTTCTGTTTCCAGACTGTCAGGTCACAGGTGAGTGACCCTCTGACCCGTCCACCGGAACTTCCCCTGATGGTGGGCTTGTCCCCACTGTGCCCTCACATGCAGCCTCCAGCCGCACGTGGCCGGGGAGCACCCAGGCACGGATGGTGCTCTAGGGACTGAACGTCCTCCTTTATCTGTTAATTAATGAGCGCATCATGGCTGCACGTGGCCAGTGGCTGCACGTGGAGAGGTGGGTCTGCCCTAGTGACCATCCCACCAGCTGGCATTTCTGTCCGTGAAAACAGAAAACCAAGGTGTGCTCAGGGTCCTCGTCCCACCTGTGTAGAGCGGCTCCTCCGTGGAGCTGTGGGAACAGTACCGGGTTGGAAGGGGCCCCTCAGATGCGCCGAAGGCTGTTACTTCCTGACACCTGGGAAAGCCGGCATCCCACCGCACACCTGACTCCAGGGGTTTCGGACGCTGGGGAACTGGGGCGTGAATGGTCTGCGAGGCCCCCTCTCCCCCCAGCCCCCTCCCAGCTGGCCCCTGGGGGACCAGGCTGCCTGGCTGGACAGGGCCCCTGCAGGTCTGGCCCGTCCTGGCTGCTCTGACGGCAGCTGGCATCACGAGGAAGAGCGAGGCTCACGTGGTGACGCGTGGTCCCGGGGGCTCGTCACACGGCCCCCACTCGGCCACAGCCCAGGCTGTGATATCCTCCTTCCTCTGGGGCCCGTACCCGCTTCTTCCATCCCCTCAGGCCTCCCTGCAGTGCAGGGCCTAGCGGTGACCAGGTGCCTGCCCACCCCCTGCTCCCGCTGTCAGCGCTGCCACGGAAACGAGGAGATGCTGCAGTGAACAAGCAAAGTCCTCCACGCAGGGGCAGCATCACCATGCCAGCCGCCCCTTGGCAGGGCCCCAAATGGCCTGGCAGTGCCGGCACTGCCAGGCAGGGCCTCAGCTGGCCTGTGCTGAAAGGCAATGAACAGACTGCTCCCCCAACACCCCCACTTCCCGGAAGGGAGGAGCAACACCCGGCCCACCCACCCACCTGTTGGGTGCCAAGGCCAGGCAGACACATGCCCCCCCCCCCCCCCTTCCCCACACCCCCCCCCCAGCCACTAACATACTTCGTCTCTACAGATTTGTCTAGACTGGACATTGCATACAAATGGAATCATACAATTACTTAGCATGTTTTCAAGGTTCATCCATGTTGTAGCATGCATCAGTACTTGATTTCTTTTTATGGCTGAATAATATTCCATGGTGTAGATATTACTATGTTTCATTTATCCATTCACAGTAAATGGCCATTTGGGGTATTTCCACTTTGGGGCTCTTATGAATAACGCTGCTGTGGTTGGATTTACATGCAAGTTTTGTATGCAGGTCTAGATTTGTTTTTTAAATTAACAGACTATTTCCGAGCAGTTTCTGGTTTACAGAAGAATTAAGCAGAAAGGACAGAGTTCTCATACCTCCTTACCTCTCTACCCAGTTTCCCCTATTATTAACATCTTACATTAGCGTAATACATTTGTTATAGTTAATGAACCAATATGGATACATTATTACTAACTAATGTCCTTGGTTTACTTTAGACTTTAGACTTCACTCTTTGTTTTGTACATTATATGATTTTGGACAAATGTGCAATAACCTGTATGCACCATTACACAACCATACACAGGAGTTTCTCTGCCTTTAAAATTCCGGGCTTCACCCATCCTTTTCTCCCTCCCCACAACCTCTGGCAACCACTGATCTTTTGACTGTCTCCACACTTTTGCCTTTTCCTAAATTTCATATAGCTGCAATCATATAATAGGCATGTAGCCTTTGCAGATTGGCTTTTTTTCACTTCGCAATATGCATTTAAGCTTCTTCCATGTCTTTTCATGGCTACATAGCCTTTTCTCTTTATTGCTGAATGCTATTCCTTTGTACCGATATACCATAGTTTGTTTGTCCAGTCACCTATTGAAAAACATCTTGGTTGATTTCAAGTTTTGGCAATTATGAAAGAAACTGTTATAAACATCCATGTGCAGGTTTTTATGTGGATGTAACTTTTCAGTTCCTATGGGTAAATACCAAAGAGCATGATTACTAGATCACTGTATGGTAAAAGTATGTTTAGTTTTGTAAGAAACGGCCAAGTATCCTGCTAGCGACAAATGAGAATTCCGGTTGTTCTGCATCGTCAACAACTTTGGTATTTCAGTATTTGGATTTTAGACATTTGAATAGGTGTGTAGTGGTAACTCATTATTGTTCTAATTTAAAATTCCCTGATGACATGGAATGTGGAGCATCTTTTCATACACTTATTTGCCATGTGTCTATTTTCTTTGTTTAATCATAGTTGTTTTGTTTTGTTTTGTTTTTTAACCAACGCCTACTAACTCTTGTCCTCCTGTGTCTATTTATATTGTCTTTTTTCTTTCTTTCTTTTTTTCTTTTTTGAGCTTTTGATCATTTAGTCTTTTTCCTGGTATGTCCAATTATTTTTTATATTAAAATGGGGCTTAACTTCTTTCCCCCCCGCCTTCCTCACCAGCCAGGCCACTCCCAGCCTAGCCAGTGGTTAAGTAGCCTCGGACCCTCCTTCCCAGGACCCCACAGGAGACACCCCCCCTCAGGCGCACCTCGAGAGCCCCCGCAGCCGGTACTGGAAACCGCTGCTGTCCAGGTGCCCTGAGGCCAGGTTCTCCTCGGGGACCAGCTCCCAGGTGTCCTGGGGCTTCCTCTTGGCCATCAGCCGGGCCAAGGTGGTGGCCCACACATCCACGCCGTCCATGCTGGCGCTGGGCTCTGCAGTGTGCTCTGAGGGCTGCGCTGGCTCCGGTTCCTAGCGAGCGCCCACCCGCCTCGGCACTGACCAATTGCCGCCTTGACAACCGTCTCGTCTCCACAGCAACCGGATTTGTCTCAGAGAAATGAGAAATAGGCCTTTTTTTTCTGACACTTTTGCGTATTTTTCATTACGCAAGCAGTGGATTTTCATTTTAGGAAAAATCAGAAACAGATAAATAAAAAGGACAAACTACAATACGATAAAAATCGCCCATAGTCATCATTGTGGTGCTTACATCCACGTATTTTCGGTGCCTATGCACATATACATTTCCATAATTATTTTTCACAAATAGGAAATCTTACTAAACATTTTATCCTAAGGCCTGCTTCTTTTACCCACAGCGTAGCATGGACGGTGATGCCCATCCTTCTAAATATCTGATACTTTCCAGCCTGTGGCTAGGGCATAATCTACCTGCCCGGCCTCTGTCCTTGAACACGGTGCTAAGTCTTTGCCATTACAAACAAAGCTTGAGGAACTTTATTGAACATGTATCGTTGCAAATTTTCCCTTTTTTTTTTTTTTTTTTTTTTTTTTTTTTTTTTTTTTTTTTTGGTGTGTGTTTGTTTGCTTGTTTGTTCAGCTGTGCCATGCAGCTTACGGGGTCTTAGTTCCCCGAGCACGGATGGAACCCGCGTCCCCTGCAGTGGAAGCGCGGAGTCCTAACCACTGGAGCTCCAGCGAAGTCCCTCCCAAGACTTTTCCTTTCTTCATACTTTTTATTGGCTAGAAATGTACATTTACGTAAAAATGCCTTAAAGGTAATGCACAGCTTCACAAATTACTCTAAAGTCTTAGCTCAGGACCTGAAGGAGCCAGCCCCCCAAAGCTGTCTGCGTTCCCCGTACCCGCCGCCAGCACTCCCCTCCCGGCAGAGGCACCGGCGCTGGGAGCCCTGGCAGCTCCACCCGAGATGCAGCCTGTTTGGGGGCTTTGCGCCTCCCCTGAGAGGGAGCTCCGCCCGCCCCCCCCCCCGCGCCTTTTTATTTATTTATTTTTAATATTTATTTGGTCGCACGGGTCTTACTTGTGGCAGGGGGGGTCGTCAGGTGTGGGTCCCCCCCCCCCCCCCCCCCCGCGTCTTGTGCGCATGCGTCTGGCTCCTGTGCAGTCTGTGGGCCAGCTTCGCCCCCCGCGTGTCCAGTACTTGGTGAAGGTGCGAGGGCGACATGGGTCGAGGAAAGAACCAGCCGAGGCTCGAGGGTTGAGCAGAGCCGGGAGGGGCCTGAGCCCGGGGCGGTGGCGGGAGGGCTCAAGCGAGCTCCCAGGGGAGGCGGCACCCAGCGCCCTGTCCACTGGGCAGCGTGGCTCCACCGAGGAGCTGGCCGGCCCAGTGCCACGGAAGCGGGTTTCTCCGTGGGCCCAAGGCTGTGAAACGGCGGCTCATGTTGACGAGAGGAAAAGCTCTGACCAAGTGAAACAGGGACATCGACTGTTGGGACAGTGCTCAGCAGCCAGTAAGTCCCCCAGCGCCATGGCTGACGGGAAAGGATGCTGCTCCCAGGCCGTTTGGCAGCTCCCAGGCCAGAGCGGGCCTCATCCGGAGCACCCCTCCCGGAATGAGGGTCGTGGACCCTGCCCCTGGGCTGCTGGGCAAGCGACAGTGCCCACAGCAGCGAGCTGCCTGCTCTGTGTTCCCTGCGGAGGGCTACAGCACCTGCCGGGCAGCCGGCTCCAGGTTCGAGAATCGCTGCATCCACCCCTGCTGGGAGCGGGCCTTGTGGGCCTTTCCTGCAGCCTTTTCACGCCCAGAGCCACCTAGAAATTCCAAGGCGCAGACTTAGCATAGCCTTCGCCCCCAGTGAATGCTCTGCCCATGGCCTGTTCACCTTCCCTGTGGGCATCCTCCCTATATCCACCTGTCTCGTGACTCTGCCTCTGTACCCTGCATGCTGAGCAGTTTCTTTTCATTTTTCTCCCAGTTCCTTGATTCTCTCCTCATCTGTGTCCAGACTACAGCTGACCCTGTCAAGTGACTTGCTCATTTCTCAAACTTCCTTTTGGCTCTTTTTCAACTGGATGACATCTTTCTTCCTTGCAGCTAAGTGTGACAATGAGATAGAACAGGAAATTATCGGAATGTGCTTTGGGGAAGGTTCTGTAATATGGGTCCAGGTAACCAGGGAAAGTCCAACTTTTCCCATTCCACTTTCACCTTCTCTCTTCATCAGTGCAGAGGTGATGGCTGGCACTCCTGCAGCCACCTTAGACCATGAGGTGACCTTGCAGATGGAAACCACATGCTGAGACCCTGAATCCTTGATGGCAGTTGGAGTCACAATACCACTTCAGGGTCGCGTACCTCTGGATTTCTTCTTCAAGAGAGAAATAAACTTCTAGCAGCCATTTTCTGGGAGTTTTTTTGGTTATCACCCAGCCAATCATAGCAATTCTAAGGTCCTGAATTTTGCTGGTCAGTCCGGGGCCATTGTGTGTATGTGGGCACCCAGGCTGTCCTGTCACATGCCCGTGCAGGGGGCTGAGGGGATGGCTGTAGCCCTGGCCCAAGGAGCCCCCACTGAGCTCTCCCTCTCTGGTAGCCCCTCCAGGCACAGTGGCCCTGGCTGTGCCTGCACCATGCTGGGTGTGGGCACCCTTGCTCTGCCCAGACCGCACCACAGCCCCGTACACCAGGCCACCCTGCAGGCCTCTCCGCTCCGAGACCAGCAACTGTCTCTGACTCCGGAGGACAGTCTTGGAGTCATGCCCCCCCACCCCCCGGAAAACAACCTTTGGGTGATGAGACGCACCCTTCAAAATGGAAGGAGCCTGTCACCTCCAGTCTTTCTCAGGACCTCCTCAGTCTGGCCCAGAGCCTGTTCCAAAGGCCCAGGTGCAGACCCCGGGGAAGTCAGCCTCCACGTACCTCTCTCCATCTGCCCATTTATCTGCTCCCCAAACCCACGAGCCAAGCCCCCTGCAAAAACTACTTACAGGGTCAGCTAACAAATTCTTCAGGCGTAAATATCCCCTCCTTTTGGCCAGAGAAACGAGGGGTGAAGCAAAACGCATGCACCACTCCGTACACGATTCCTGGGTTGTGAGGCGTGTCCTGGAACCACGGGTCTGGCTGTGTGACTGTGCAGCCCATAGGTGGTGTGGGAGATGCCCTTCCTTGGAGCCGGTGCGAGGATGATGGCACCGCTAAGGACAGGCTCTAAGAACAAGGCTCGTAGCCATGCCCTCTGCCTCTACGCTGCCCTCCACCTTCTAACCTATGACAGTCTCCCTGGGGCACTGATGACCCCAGTCCGGGGTGGGGTGTGGGTGGAGAGTGGTGTCAGGAAACCAGGTACCATTTCTACACGATCGCCCCCCTGAGGGAGACGCCAAGGCCCCTCTCCCCATGGACACTCTCTGGCCTCCTCCCTCACACTCACTGCCCTGATCGGAGGGCAGGGGCAGCCCTCACACTGGGGGCTTCCAGGTGGAGCGTGTGAAAGCAGACCTTCTGCAGCCCAGGTGAGACACGAGGACAGTCTCCTGCAGGAGTGTCTGTCACCCTCTTGGCCTGGCTGGCTCCCCTGAAGCCCCTCACTGCAACACTGGACCAGGGAACTGCCCCATTTGGACTGGGGGTGGGGAGGGGGAGGGTGGCAGAGGCAGGACCGCACAGCAGGGAGGCATCAAAGCTGGCAGCCAGGTCAGGGTCAAGGGGTTGCAGGGTCCAGCACGAGGCCAGCCGGCTGACTGGCTTTGCTCTGTCAACAGGGCCCCACCTTGTGTGTCTGTGCAGGAGAGGTTGAGACAGACAGGCAGACAGACAGACAAGAAGAGAGACTTGGGCAGAAGCGTGGTGCTCAGCCCGTGCTGGGCTCACCTCAGCCCCCCAGACCTCAGCAGAGGGGGTGCAGCTCCAGGAACATGGGCCACTCCCCGAACCCCAGGCCGTGTGACCCCCTGGGAGGCCCGAGCCCAAGCACGCCGTCGAGGTGTGTGTCCGGGGCCTGCAGGCAGCAGGAGGTGGTCCTGGCCAGCAGCTGGGGCAGCAGCCCCCACCCAGCCTGTTCTGTTCCTAAAGGCGCTTCCCGCCGTCCCAAGTTCCAGCATCCAGCCCAGCTGCTGCCAAGCGAGGGGCCGGCACCTCCACCAGGTCCCGGAAGGAGCCGTGACATCGGGCAACGGAGGGGAATGACAAGGGACACAGGCAGGGGGGCACCTTCTGAGTGAGCCGGCACAGGCTGGGCAGAGGGGACCCGGCCCTCCAAGTTGAGGACAGCCTGCCCAGAGGGCAGGAGCTCTTGCACGTCCACAGGGGCAGCTGCACGTCCACCCAGGTCAGTCTGGCACCAGAGCCCGCAGGGCAGCACCTCAGCTGCCTGGGCGACCAGCCAGCAAGGAGCGTGAATGACGCCCAGTGGGAGAGGCCAGGGAAGTGTTCACACACGTCTACTACACACACATGAACACACACCCATAAACACACAACACACACATACCTACACACTATGCACACACAAACACACCACACACATATACACATATACAAATACCAACCCATGTATAAGCACATGCACACACATGAACAGGTACTGGTGAACACACACCACACACAAAACACATAAACATGAACACCTATACAGGCATGAACACACACCATACACATACCTGCACATGAATACACACACCTGCACATGAATACACACACACGCCTACAAACCTACACACACACATACACATGAACACATACACCCAAACACACACACTTTTGGAAATTTAAAATATAAATTTGCATTTAAATTCCCAACAGCATTCTAGAAAGTTTAGAAATGAGGAGGTAAGAAATCTGGGAACCCACCACCTTAACAAACAAGTCAACTATTATTCTTGTGTACAATAAATGGTGAAAATATTTTGTCCCTATTTTTTAATTTGATTCTTAAATTGGCCAGATAAATTAGGCGCTCTTTTTTAACTTCTGGGAAATGCTTCAGAAACAGGATAGAGCA